TTAATCCAAGGTCAAGATGGAACTTTCTCTAAACCTATCTAGATCTACAAAGAAGTGTGTGTAAAATCATTAATCTTTTTTTTTTATGGATGTAATACATCTGAACAACATTTAAAATACTATTAATATAATTTTATATTAAAGGGGACGATAGAAAAAAGTACTTTTCTATATTTTCCATCAGTATATTTTGAAAGATTGCTTATAGAAAGTAATATATGTGTGAGCTAACTGAAGTTTAAATGGTTCTCAAATAAAAAGCAGGAATGCATGTTAAACTACACTGCTACGTCGTGTTCGGTTTAACACAAAGAAAGCACGCGTTGTTAAAGAAACTATCCATAAAATAGTTATTGATGAACGCAAAAGTTAAGACGCGCACGATTACACAATGAATAGTTCATAATATAATAAAAGTTGATCAACTAGTGGGTCAATTTTGTCTTCGCTTGGTTTTGAATTTCGCGCAGTGATTTAGCAGTGAAAGACTATAGGGAAGCCACCCACCGCCAACTCTTTTACCAACGAATTGTGGGATTGACTCTCACATTATAACGGTCCCACGGTTGAAAGGGGCGAGTATATTTGGTGTGACTGGATTCTAACCCGCGACCCTCAGATTGCGAGTCAGACGCCCTAACCACCTAGCCATGCCGGACCCAATTTTGTCTTCTTTATAGTGGAAAATGTAAACCCATTAGACATATTTTTTTCCTTTTGATTGATGAGAAACGTCTAAAATGATGCAAACAATTAAACGTACGACTACAACTTCGAAGACATTACGTACACAGAGGGAACCCAGTGCAGAAAGAAAAGCACCTACATCTACTATGCATCATAGACCAATGACGTTTTTAAATATTTTTAGTATGTAAACATGAGCAGGATCAATGGTTCTCAAAATTTTCAAACTTTTTTGAAGCACAACCTCAACCTTATTTTTTTAAAACGAAAAACCTAGTAACAAAAATTATTGTTTAACACTTACTCATTAAGTGAATAGAAGCTCCTGACATTGTTTGATATACACTAAAGTGCCAAAAAGGTTAGACCAGGTACTCTCAAACTAAGGGTCGCGAAGAGTTGAAAAAAATGCAAACATATTTGAGTTTTTATTGCTATTATTATTATTGCAAATACCAATATATTAAAAAAGATCTGCTTCGCCTTCGTTGTCAGCATGATGGCGCTACAGCAAAAGCCTTTTTCTTTTCTTTAGCTTGTTTCAGATTTTCACCCAGAAGCTGCACTGTGTATAGTCGTACATAATTTTAAACTGTAAGGGGAAGGCAGCCAGTCAGTTATACCCCCTTGGGCCACTGTAATCAAATAGTGAGATCTTACCGTCACTCTTACATTCGTCTTGACCCCCAAGAGCAGAGAGCGTTCTGGGGCCAATAGGACGCGAATAATACAATCTCGGATTCCCAATTTGTGCACGCTAATCACTAGGCCACGTCAGACCCTTTTTAACTATTAAATTTTTTATAATTTTTCAGAGGTATGGAACATTTTAAAAATAATCTGTATTGTAGTAACTTTTTGTTTAGGACGATACTTCTCTGTTGATTTTTAATTGGCTGACAAATGAGAATTGCTTTGGACAGAAAAAGTTTGAGCTGTTTTACAGTGTTAGATAGGCTGGTTCAAATGTTAATATTTTTTATTTTATTTATAAATCTAAACGTATGTGCGCACTCACGTACACGCATACACAATCATCAGCATAGGCTTAGGAGATAAGAACGAATGTACAATACTAGGAAACATTACATTTTCTTCGGAGGTACATACAAAAGGGGCTCAATCACAACTGTCAGCATTTCTTATTGGGTGTATTTATTTGACATACAACACACACGACAATTATATTATAATAATAATATTATACTATAGTTCCAGTGTTGAAATTGTGTACAAGTATTCTTGAAGCACACGCACATGTAAAATGAAACGCTGAATATTACGGCAAATATTTCTTGAAGTTATAAGGTGGTTAAATGTGTTCTTAAAATCTAGTATGACGAGCAAGTAACCTTGTTCTGTCATTAGTGTTTTAAAAAATGCAACTGAATATGAAATATATTAATCAAGAGAAATGGGAATGTATGCAAGAATCTAATTAAAAGTGATACATTTTGGTAAATATTAAGTTTTACTGGAATTCATTATATTTTCAGTATTCCGATAATCTTGATATCTGTAATAGTTATTCCCATTTCTTTTAATATTTTTAGCATATTAATTGGTGTGATTTCCAATACCTTCACTTATCTTCTAACCAGCGTTATTGCATTATAGGTTTGGATTCTTAGGTTCCCATTTACAAAGAGAAACCGCCATGTTACCATACGATATCCACCAAAAAGTATAAATAAAAGTAGTAGCAGTAGCTTTAGTGGGTACAGTTTTAAGTAGAAAGTGTTTTGAAAAGTATGTCAATAGTTATAACTCAACTCGGGTACATCTAATAATAAAAAAAAAGGCCCAAGACAGTCACCGAGATTGGAAATGGAAGTAGGCTTAACTTGTACTTTTGCTATCAGTGAATGCCTTCAATATTTTCGTGATTTACTTCAATATAAATATTTGTGATTTTATAAATTGTGTCGTTGCTTGGGGTTAATAGACCGAAGTCTGATTCTTAGGGGGTTAAGAGATTTTGCGTGATTATGTGGTTATAATTATATACGGTCTTGTTATGCCATCTCTGTAGGGACAACTGAGTCAATTAAGCCAAAATATTTTTTGAGACTGTTTTCGTTTAGGTGGGTTTAAAGCACATTACAAACCTTCAATTTAGCCCATTTGACCAGTCTAGAGAAACGTGATTATCAGGGGTACGTAGTTACTATATGTGTGGCGCTTAATTTGTAATGTTCAAGATAGATAAAACATGTTTAGAAATATGTTTTTGTGTAATTGTTAACTATTCTTATATTTACTTTGATTTGGCTTCCCTTCGAAATAAACGTGAGCACGTGTCTCGATTGTAATTCAAGTTTAGGAGTGTGCTGACATTTGTTTGTTGTTACATTTCCAAATGTTTTATTTAAATATTCTACTTGGTATAAATATAAACATCAAGCCAGCTATGGATTATTTGTGTCGTTACAGCTATTAACATTTCGTGCACAGTTTGGCTTTGTTAGATACATACGACCGTTTTAAGTATAGCGTGAGTGTTAAATTTAGTTATATTTAGAAGCGATAGTTTATCGCAGGTTTGTTTACGTAACTGTGCGAATCGTTGTGTAGTTCAATTGTCGTAAAATACGTCATGTTACTAGAACCTTCTGAGTTCTTTCATTATAATATCTCATAGTGTTTGAAAGTTCTAGGCCTCAGTTGGGCTATTTACAAATACACGTCCAAAATGTAGTTCAAGTTAGACAAAGTTAGTGAGAGATATAGTCAAATAGATCTAGACTGTGTGCTTTTAAGTGTAGCCGTAAAGAAAAAGAGGGTAGTGTCCCTTTAAAAAAAAGTGAAATTATTGCAGATTGTATTATAACAACAGAGTAGAGAAGAATAATTTGTCTTGTCAATTGTATTCTAAAGTAACTAAACCGACCTGTGTGGACTTTGACCAAAAGAGACGATTATTTAAAGCTATGGATACAACTGTGATAATTAACTGTGCAACGAACATTTGTATATATGTCCGACTTGTTTTAATACATGATTTTAAAACAAGTGGACTGTGTGCTGTTTGTGTATTATTTAAATTTATCGCCAACACTTTACAGACTCCTACTGTAAAGAATCCGGCCCACATACACTTAAAAACCTGACAGGTTTACTTTTAGTTTATATTGTTAAACCGTTTTTGTCTCCACATATTAAAAAACAAATAAAAATAAACATGCATGCTTTATGTTTACAGAGGCATTATACTGGGTGTTTTTAACTGAAAAGAGTTAACTTTGCTGTCAAATTGGATGGAATTTGTATTTTAATTGTGTGACTGTGTGCGTAAGTATGTGCTTATTTTTATTTATGTTTTGCTTATAGAAGTGACAACTACAATATTAAATTTTACTTTCATACTTGTCAGTTTTAGTTCAGATGATGTTCCTTCGTAGACAGCATTGTTTGTTTCGCTACAGTAAATATACCTTGGCCTAACGAGTTTTACAGTTGGCATGGTTACGCATCGATGTCGATGCCATCATTCAAATGGGTCACTGCCATGTGGCGTGTTATAAACTCAGTACTAAACTTTATTTAAGTTGAATTCTTTACATCTGCTGTTGCGTAAAAGGTAAGGAATAATGGTGTACCTTCAGGGAAATGGAGAATAAAAGCATCAAGATCGCACAAAATGCATGTACCCACTTTTTCTTTAACAAGTTAGAAGTGTTGATAAACATCAAGTGGCATTATCGAAGTGCTTAATGAAAAAATAAATTAAGAGTAGCTATATTTCGAAACATCATTAGGTGATATATGACTTTCATCAAACATAACTTGCAATGCAGTAACGTAATTTAATAAACACTCAATAAAGTCGGTTTGATTCATATTTTTTGTTTTCTGATGAGAGGTTCGAACCAAAGGACATCTCAAATTGAACGAAGGTAATCATTCCAGTATTTACATACACTTAAATACATGCGTGATAGGACACCTTGCAATAAATACTAAGCATTCTCTGCTGAAAAAACGATACGGGTCAAAGAGACTTTATTAGTTAGACATTTGGAGTCGGGCCTTAATTAACCTCATCGTGTCTTCCAACGTATTTTTGTTAATTTGCTATTTTCTCACACTTATGAAAGAGACATTGTACTTGTTTTACTTTGGTCTGTTTTTATGGGTTGGACTTGATATGATAATTCCACTTGAACTTTGAAAGATGTAGAGGTGTAAGCAGTTTCGAGTACACCCTTATAGTATATAGTTACTCCATTATCTGCAACCAAATCTACATGATAAAAGTTAGATAAAAACGAACTTACCTAAACTAAAATAAGAATTTTTTTTGCTGATTACAGAAAACAACCATGGGTTATGACCTGTATGAACAAGTATGGTATCACTTGGATCTAATAGAAAAGGATTATTTTGGTCTTCAGTTTACAGACACTAACCAAGTTTCGGTAGGTGGTGCCGAATTTCATAAATGTGAACACATGAAAAAAAAATTGAATGTAGGACATTAGTTTATTTTAATTTCATAGTTTTCATATTAAATGCTTCGCCTTGGTACAATATGTCTGGACAGTTACATTGCAAATGTGTAAATAATCGATGTTTCAAGAAGCTAGTAGCACGCTAATATGTCTAGAATAATTATACAGTATTCATATAATTAACTTAGAAACGCTTAAATGAAACTGTTAGATATTAAAGAATATTGGCTTTATTAAGCCTTTTGTTTAGAAGTTATACCACTAGAATGCCCTATAAAAATATTTTCAAAATTGTATACTGGTGTGTGTGTATGTATATATGTATAACGTATATTTTGATATAGTCACGATAAGTAACGAAACTTTTACCAGTTATTTGTGCTGGTCATTAATGTTTTTGATATATTTTTGATAATAATAATATATTTTTATTAGAAGGTTTTTAATTTCATATATGAGCTATGACAAACTGTGATATCAGATGCTCACTTTATTTTATTTTTTCCAGCACTGGTTGGATCCAACCAAACTTATCAAGAGACAAGTTAGAAGTAAGTGCGGGTTATATTGTATTTAGATGTAAGACTGATAGGTGATAGTAAATATATTTTCACAAGCTTGTACCTTTAATAAACCAATTAGCTGGACTAAAGTAGCAAAGTATTATCTTTTTAATTAATGTATTTACAAATATAGTCACGAGATATATTTTTAACAATAAATGGTATATTAGCAAAACTTTCGTAAAATATATAAATTATGTCATGATGTATTTCTCTAATTCTGTAAGTTTAAATAGTATATGATTGCATTATGTATTAAATGTTAAAGGAAGTACTTCGATTAGCATAGGTCTCACCATTTTTACCGGATTTAGGTTGTTATTAACATATCCGATAAGTGACACTTAGTTTTTGTTTTTATAGCTAATAACAAGGAGTGTTAGAAGAAACAGATAAACAAAAGTTTATTTCTTTTAAATAAACCACATCAATTTAGTGTTACAAATCCAATTGCGTTCATCAGCTTTAAGAGAACTTGTATTTGTAAGCTTGTGTATAGTTTTTTACTAACCATTAATATCCTAATATACTTTAGGTATTTGAATAATATGTGACATATTTGTCCATCATCGTTGAGTGGACCAAGAATGTGGAAGTGTTAGGGTTTGGTCCGAACTATGTGATGGTGTGACATATTTGTCCATCATTGTTGATTGGACCAAGAATGTGGAAGTGTTAGGGTTTGGTCCGAACTATGTGAGGATGTGACATATTTGTCCATCATTGTTGATTGGACCAAGAATGTGGAAGTGTTAGGGTTTGGTCCGAACTATGTGATGTTGTGACATATTTGTCCATCATTGTTGAGTTGACCAAGAATGTGGAAGTGTTAGGTTTTGGTCCGAACTATGTGCGGGATGAGGAAGGACCATGAAAGCGTATTTTCCCATTGGCGATTGTTATTCATATGACTAAAAAAGTATTGGTATGGGCAAAATAATGTTGTAGGAGAACATGTTCTGTTTTAATAACGGGATGCCTATTTCTTATAGCAGTTGTAATTAGTTGAATTCATAACGCCACAACTGGATTTTTTTTTTTTTCATAGTGGTGTAGTGAAGCTCACAGAGCGATGGAAGAAATGTAATGATAAGTAGTATCTGATTGCCCACATCTTCAGCACCATTCAGGCCCGTGCGCAGAATGTTTCGAAGGGAATTCTAGTTTGTGAGATCAAAAGTCAACACATATTGTACAAAGCACAATCATCATGCATAGCATGGTAGTGCTACGGGGATCTGGGGCATGTCCCACAGAACTTTTGGAAAAAAGTAGGTACTATGAGATTAAATCTGGAAGCAAT